CTTCTTCAAGCACAACTATACAGGAAGCTGCGTAATAACAAATCTGACTATGTTGAGGGAGATATATTATGTTGACATAATGTTATTGATTAGATTTAGCGCCTTAGAATTAGCTTCTGCTAAATGCCTTATTGGTATAGCGTTGCTGTAGGCAATGAAGGGATGGTGAACTGGATGGGACAGAGAGAGAGAGAGAGAGAGAGAGAGAGAGAGAGAGAGAGAGGGTTCAAGCTGTTGTTGTTTCCACTTTTTATTCTTTATTTCTTTTTATTTTGCAAGCTCGCTCCTTCCTGTCTGCTTCAAGGACTGACTGCCTCATTTTCTCCATTCTTCATTTTTTTTTATTCAGCCAGCCCCTTTCAACATCCCACATCCTCTGATCCTCTGCATGCAGAGGGGAAAAAATGTAGACTCCACACTAATTATGTAGCTGGAAGCGCTCATGGTTGCTCTTTTGACTGTATCAAATTCAAAGTTTGGAAACCCTTCTACAGCAGAGAATGTATTTTCATATAGCACAACAGCTAGCTAGATCTCGCTAGTTGTCGTGGGTTGTGGAGGATGGTTACTAACTGCTACACTTCGGCTTAGGTTTAACATGTTAATAACTGGCTAAAAGAGTCAACACTTTTGATAAAGAGGAGGCTGTAGGTGAACCCATTGGAGTTTCTGGAATAATTTAAATGGAGCTCTAAGACTTTTAATGGAGATGACAAAAGTACATGGAAGTCATTAGGGAGCTAGCTTGCATACTAAACTATTCAGCTTTTTACTTTTCCACTTGAAAGCTTCAATAGATTTTTTTTCAAACTGGGGTTTGTTCTGTGGAGCATTTCTAGCAACTTGTATTTTAACAGGCAGCAGTCTGAACAAATTGAAAACCAGGAAGCTGTTTAGACAGAGAGAGGATTAGCTGTCTAAACGGCCTATGCGCCACTTTTTATCCAACCCATGGAAACGTTTTTAAAAAATACAGTAATTTAATTATTCCCGTTTAAAACCCTTCAACAATATGGGAATTTTGCATTAGTTTAAAAAAAAGTCTGCAGTGAATCATGCTGCTTTCTATCTAGCCATGAATCCTGGCATGGTGAAATATATGTGTAACATTTGATGCCCTCCTGTTCTGTTACAATTATTGTGACACCCATAATCTAAATAAATACCAATTCCAAACATGCAGATAGTGACATGGAAAATGTACAAAAATGATTTTTTTTTCCAGGAGAAGGATAAGAGAAAAACTTTATTGGTACTGTAAAAAAAAGTCATCAGCTAACAATAGCAAATCAACCATCATTTACATTGTTTTTGATACTACTGGTTATACTGCTCATGTAAAAAGCTGTGAAAAGTTTCCTTCAAAAAGTAACAAAAAAAAATTATTTGAATGAATCAATTAGTTTGTCATAAAAAAACCCCTAATGTAACTGTATTATGGGAAGCCTTAATGCTAATTCCAGCTCCTGAAGAACAACGATGTAAAATGCAACAGGTTTTTACACTTACATGTAATCTGACGTTTAGTCATTAAAGCATGCTAAAGACAATGATAATGATACAACTCAAAATAGGAGGAATGTGTAAATGACGACAAGGACATGAAGATAAGTGTCTCGTCTGTGTCGTTCTGTTCAAGGTGATTACAACATAACATCAGAACTAATTCAATTGAAGCACAGAAACTTTTGAGTACAGTGAGTTGGCATGTTACAAAAACCGCTGAAACGTCCATGTTTCAAAATAATACAAATCATACCTGACATACGCAAAATGAAACAAAAATCCCAGGAGCCTTTGTAAAACAGTATTACAAGTATGGCAAACTTCTTCTATAGAGCCTTTAACAGGTCAGCGGGAAGAACTGGTGAAGTTTACGAAAGAAAACGTGAAAAGTCTTTAGCAGAAGAATATTCAATCTAGACATAATCAACCAGATGATTAGACCTTATGTCATGGTTGTTATTAATTTCCTATACATAAACAGAAATAGCCCCCAAAAAAGCCTTAAATTTGTTGCAATTACCTACAGGCGATCTAAATAACCATTTTTCTGAATTCCTGTAGATCTGAGCTGTGCTGCGCTACTACTGCTAGCTTTATACACTGTTCACAAAAACACAAATATTTAGCAAACATGTTTCTTCTTTGTTTGCTCCTCCAATCCATGTACAAAGACTTTTTTGGAATTAAAACAGAACATATTTTTAAAAGCAGAGATTTTTTAAAAATGCGGTGTGCGGCATATCTGTATAGACTGGATATCTGGAAAATACTGAATATAATGACACATAGACTCACTGTCACCTTCAAATATTAGCTTCTCCCAGCTGAGTGGATTCTAAGGAATTTTTTTACTTTTTTTTTTTTGCTTCATTCCGACTCTCTTAATATTAAATCTCTAATGTAACTAGAGAAACTCTTGTGGGGCAAATATTGTGTAATACCGTGTTAGCCAAAATCAACAGTTTTGTTTAAGTAATTAAAAAAAACAACTAACTAATAAAAAAAAACCTGATATTAATTTTGCTGCCGCCTAGAATATCAGTGCAATATGTACTGATAAATAGTAATGTTTCTGTTAAGTTGCTAAATCCCTTGATTAAGACAAGGTGGCGCTGCAGCACTGGCAGCTCCCCACTTTTTGCGCTAATGCCCTAAAAATAATATCATTTTATTAAATTTTTTTGTTGTTGTTGTCATTTTTAACTTTCTCAGATGTAAATGACATTAATTCCTACTGAACCTGTTAGTTTAAGCAACCTGTTTTACAGTGTAACTAAAGTGCCATGCAACGCTGACATGCCTAATATGGGTTTACAGATAGCTAATGTATTTTTTAAATTCGCACAGTGTCAATGTCAGTGATTGGACACCTTGTCAATTGTTTTGATACTCTCCAGCATTTCTGTCGGGGAGTAAAATAAATTAGATGCTCTTTGAACTGCCCTGCAGTTGCAATGTGACCGGTGGTGAATGACAAAACTGAAAACGTAAAATACACAGAACTTCATTAAAATACAATATCAAAAATGTTTTACAAAAAAAAAGAAAAACTGAAAAAGGCAAAAACAAAAAAAGAGACCTGATTCTGATTTCCGGATGCATGATTGCATTAGTTTCAGTGTCCAGATGCTAACAAAACAAACACATACTCTAGTTGCACAACAGATGATGTGCTTGGATATCAAAACAAAATGATAAAAAAAAAGGAACAAACATACAAAATGATATATTCCCTCTCACCTTCCTCCAAAATTCAAACCTAAAACATTTCAATCAACATAACATTTAAAACACACCTGAAATACATAACAAAAAACACACATCCTCCCATTAGCTAAAACTGGACCACAAATCTTAACCATACACTGTAATATTTATGCCAATAAATTGCTGGAATTTGCTGCTTTAAGGTGTCTCTGAGTAGCATTTAATGTGAAAAAGTGCCATACCGAAACCTTCCGTTTGCCAATCCAAGTACATCTCATTTAAAACGTTACTTCTTGCCTTTACAACAACAGCCTAACTGGTTCTGGGTCAGCTCACTCCTTTCACAAATTCGTACTGCTATGTTGTACCTACTGGATTCCATTTTTTTGGTCTGTTCCTGTTTCTATTTGGTATTTATCATCAACAACCTTTTTCATACTGATATATTAAAGCCATAATGTATTTGACCCTTTGCACATGACGTCACACTCTTCAGAAACTGACCCACTCCACCATGACGGACGTCAACACAACCTAAGCATGATTTAACTACCGGTGGTTGGTAGCCTAATATCGTATTTATTTTGTTGATTTCATAGGATGCTGCACAAACAGACAAGAACACAAACCAAACTTGTCATTTTATCGTAAACCTTTTGTCGAGGAAAGAAGGTAAGGTACAATGTGAAAAAATAAGCAATAATCTACTTGATAAATATGAATAGTAAGATGCAATCAAATATTGCGTTATGGAGATGCTATGCGTCTAATCATCCATAACTATGGCTATTGAGGCTACCATCATGTAGCCTCAGTATACAAAAAAAAAACAACTAATATGCTTATGGACTTTTGTATGTTTTTTATCTGAAAAAAACAACAACCTTTTTTTCAGATATAAAAAAAAGGTTTTTACCTTTTTTACCGTTAGAAAAATCGATTAAAAAAAGAAAAATCTGTGAAGTGTTTGTTGAATTTTTTGTTCAACTCAACAAACATTTCAAGGGGACGAAGTATTTGTGGGTCGGTTTCTAAGCTAGCTAGGAAGGATGGAGTCAAGACCGGTTCTTCCGAGACCAAGACCGAGACCAAGGCTGAAGTTGAATGTTTGACTTCAATAAATATTTCAGGACATTGCTTTTTGTACACCAAAAATGCAAATATTAATGGAAAAAAGTCAACCAAAACTACTTCTTGGTTTTAAATTAATAACGGTCATAATAAACTAATATTTAAGTTACTAAATGCAGCCACACAATGATACACATTCTCTAAACTGAATTAATCAGCTTACATTGCACAATAGTTGTATGTTAAATGAAAAAAATTGAGATATTAGTTTAATAAAATGTGTCAGAAAAAAAATATAGCCATAAATAATTAGATGTTAAAAAACTCACTGTTCCTAAAACATATCCTGGACATATTATGCCTAGTACACACAGGAACACAAATAGCCTCACATGGGAAATTCCCGAAACTATCAGAGCCAATAGATGCCGTGGGATTTCCGAAAATCACGGAGCCAACAGAGCTGACGCAAGGACAACAGAGTGCAGGAACCAAAGTGGAAATATTTTCGCTAACACGGATTCTGGTTATAAAACATCGAAGGTAAGTTTTGGCATGACAAAATAGGCTTTGTTTTTCCTCTGTATTGGCTGCTGGTTCTGTGAGTTTTGCACGTAGTTCGACGATTGTCATATCGTTCGAAAGAGCAAAGTTTGTGTCTTAATTTAAAGCTTGTGTGGCTAAGACAATGTTTTAGCGTTGCTGTGTGTTTTTACGGTTATGCATGTTTCACATACGTTTTATTATAGACCGAGGCCAACACCGGGGGGGGGGGAAAGCTTGAGGCCAAGACCGGTCTCGAGCCCTCCATTCCTGCTAACTAGTTCCAACTTTTGTCAATTCCACTATCTATGAACCCCGACTAGGTAAGCTCCGTCCACAGACAAATTAGTTTGAATTGAACGAGTGCAAGCTGTGGCTATACCGGCAAAAACAACTTTGGAAAACAATGGCAGTCTTCTCTGTTTAATACTCCCGTCCGTCACTACAACGTCCATCATGGCACCTCAACTAATCAAGTGGCGTAGTTGCAAAGGGTCTATGCAATCATTTTGTTTTAAAAATACTTAAAAATTGAATTTTGGCTTAGTAAACCATGAGTTTTATACCGTACAAAATTTATTGCGACAGACCCAAAAAGATGGGCACTAAATAATCAAAACTGCAAAGATACGAAATGGAGAAGGTGTCAAAAATAACCAGAAACCACAAAACTCAGTAGTTGATAAAGATAGACAATTTTTAAATATCTTTCAATCTTTCATTGATAGACATCCCTTTCTTCTTTGCTTTGCTGTCCAGCAACAATCCTTTCAAGATCTCAGAAATGGCATTTGATCTGTGTGAGATAGAATGTCAAGTTAAACCACAGTTCAAAGAAATGTTTTTGCCCATCGATTTATGCAACATTTGCTTTGGCGTTAGTTACAGAAAGCATTCAACTCAAGCAGATTCTTAATCCGTAGTTAACCATGTAAAGGCACAAGAGCATATAATTGTGAGCTTGCAGCTTAGCTTGAGACTCTATCCCAGACGACAGAAGGAAGACTCATGTCTCAGGTTCAGCATGCAGCTGATCTTTGCTAGAAGGCAGGAGGATACTTGGCAGCAGGACCACCTCCTTTAAGATTAAATACATGCTCAGACGGGTAGTAATATCAATGTGATATCAAAGTGGACAGGGCGGGAGGGCGGAGGACGTTTGTCTGCATGATTTAGGGTTGAAGGGAGGGTGGAGGACGGGCTGGTGGAGGACAGGGCGGCCCTGGAGGCGTGCGGGACGGCGGGGGCCCTGGAGGCACCTGGCCTGACGGTGGTGATCTGGTGGGTGGGCTGGAAGAGGTAGGAGACGAGGAGGCGGAGCGGGTAATGGGACGGTAGTCTGGTGGAGGAGGCGATGGTGCATGAATTGGAGGACGGGGTGGGGCCTTGGTTGCTGCCGAATCGTCTTTTACTCTTGTAAAGTTGATGCATCGACCCTGCACAGAAAGAAGTAAATATGAATGTTTAGGCAAACCAAACGGTAAGCACAGAACACTTGGGTTGCACTCACACCACTCCTGTTTAGTCCGCTGTAATCGAACTCTGCTTAGGTTGCCTAGAAAGACTTGTTCGTTTGGGGAGGTGTGGATGTGCAATCAAACTCTGATGGAGATCAAAAAAGTGAACTCTGGTCCACCTAAAAATGTAGGTCTTGGTTTCATTAAATCAAACTCTGGTGTGGTTCTAATGTACAGTGGATGCAAGCAGACCGGAGACAGCTCCACAAATAGGAAGTGGACTATAATACAGTGCATTGTGGGTAGCCAAAACAAATTCGAGAGCCTAGAGCCTGTTTTTATTGCATTGTAAAAATGAAGTAATGCATACCCACTGCTACTTGTGGGGACTGAAGCCTGGTCCTCATGAGGAGAAGTGCTCTAGTGTTGGGGTTTAGGCTCAGGACTAAGGTGTGAATTGAGTTAGGGTTAAATTAGGCATGCATTGGTACTGGATGTGTTTTGGGTGAGCGTCAAGGCCATAAGCAATAGAAATAAATAAAAATGAATGGAGATTAAAGTCCTTGTGTTAACTCTTGAGGACTCTTTCCTGTTGTTAACCAGTTCTTAGTCCTCATACACTGGAATATCATCTTTCACACACTACAGGTTAGTTGAGTACAGTAGTCCCCAACCTGCTGTCCTACATGTTTTAGATGTGACCCTACTCCAGCACACCTGTTTCAAATAATTTCATTAGCTCCTTAGGATGCCTCCATTTGCTGCATTCATTTAAGCCAGGTGTGCAACAGCAGGGTAACACCTGGGCCCTGAGGGCCAGCATTTGAGACCTCTGGTTTAGTGTCATGTTAAGTTTAAGGTAACTAGCAGAGAAAGCGTCAATAGGGATAGAAAAACAGACTCCAAAAAAGATCAACATTGTTTTTTAAAAAGAGGAAACTAAAGTTTTCATATGGTTTAAAAAAATGACTTTTAATGTCTATAACATAGGAAACCCTATTAACTTGAGCATGTTCACAGAGGTTTCTTTTAGTACTGAAACTCTACCGTCTGTCCAGATTTGTGTGGTTGGTAGTCAAGTGTGGATAGGAGAAATGTTAATCTGTTAATAAGCAGTGTGAATGGCTGAAACCACTGGAACACGGGTTTCCATAGTGGAAAATGATAGAGCAGTCACTCATAAAAATACAAAATACGGAAGAATTTTTTTCCCTGTCTTGGCAGAGGCAACAACACATGCTGTACTTATCTGGACTAAAATACCCTGATAACATAAACTGCTTTGTGAAAATATTCCAATTTTCCTAAACACTTTGTTCTCTAAAGCTGTGCTGGACATCCACGGTCGTAAAGTTTTCTGGCATTAAATTTATGTATGTGTGTGTGTGAGGCATGGTCAGTCGGTTTGTGGAGACAGGTCTGGGCGTCCTCTGTCTTTGACATTAGCTTTTACCCTGTAACCAACAAACTGCCGGTCCAGAAAAGGGATATAATACCAGCTCAGTATTATTCTGTCCCTCTGATGTAAGTGTCCTGTATGTGGTTTGGTGACACACACACACACACGCACACACACACACACACACACACACTCCTACAATGACTGACTTTATTCTCATATTTAGACTGGATGATCCTCAACATTCATGAGCACAAAGATTTAACTAGCTGTCATCACATTTAATGTAAGATCCTTTGTCAGTCAGTACATCAGGGTGGCTTGGGACATACGGACACTTCTGCTCATTATTAGCGCCTATCGAAGAGAAATGGGATTTTGTTTTAGCATGAAACAATGTGACAGCTCAATGAGCTCAGCAGTTTCTCCCTGGCAGTTTCTGACAGCAGACTGCACTCAACAGAACTGCATCCTGGATCATATTGAGCCGTTTATTGGCAATCGACAAATGAAAGAAAAACTAAGAGTTGAAACCGAACTGACATTTCTCTTTGTTTGTACTATGACTCAGTAAGTCTGTTGGGAAAAACCCCTCAATAAAGCTAACCCTGATGAATGTAGCATTCAAACAGCGCCTCAGTTCAGACCGAGCCGCAGTAGATCGTCATTGTACAAGGATAGACTATTGTTAAAAGTTCTGCAAGTAACAAAACCAAATTCTCTGCATTTTAGCTAGAAAAGTTACACCAGCTTCACAACAGCAGAGGAAAGTCCATGTCCAGGATTTATCCAACACTTCTGATATTTATCCCCTCCTACACATGTTAATGCTAAGTTGAATAAAAGAAGAACACATAATATTAGGGCGAAGGTGAAGACCTTTGCGCACCCAGCTAGATACATCCCTGTTACTGGAGGCTATAGCCATTCCAAAGCTAGCTACTGATTTGATTAGCTGGAACTGGCCACCATTGGCAACTGAAAGAGAGGCTACTCACTTGACACTGGAGAGGTCAGTGACTAGCATATGGTGACATATTGGTTTGCCTACTTCCTTGGCTGTCCATTAGCATAGATAGGCTGACAACAAGCATACCTACGCTGGCCATCTATCCTGTTAGACATATATATTTTTAAAGAACATTTAATCACATATATGACATATTATCTATATTATGACATATAATATCTGTAGGTGACATACATTTGACTGCATCAGTGTGTTATTTTGTTAGAATTGACTTTAATCCAGCTCAACATCAGTTAATCTGATCTGTAGCTAGCTTCGAAATATGTAATCTCCTGGAACAAGGACATAGCCAATGCTAGGTGTGTAATATTCTGCATTTTGGCCCTAGTACCAAACCATAGAAACATGGGTGTACAAATAAGATGTTTTTTAAATTGAAAAACAAAAAACGAGAGGCTATTGTTCGTCCTCCTTAGGAATTGCAGAAACCAGAACATTAAAATGGAAGTATGTACTCACTGAGCCATGATTTTTGCTGTCACTTCAATTATTCCATACAAAGTGTGACTTCAAAAATAATGTACCCCACTGTACAAGCTGCTAAAAAAGAGTGAACCTGAAATATGTTCAATAAGTGGAAAATTCTCCTTTGGGACTTGTGGAGCTGAAAAATTATGAAGGATTATTTGAATAAACAGAACAACAGTGTACTGGATGTTTGTGAGGTATTTCTAAGCTCCCCCCAGGGGGAGCTTTGTTCTCCGAGTGTAAAGCCTTTTCTTTCTCCACATTCATTGCTAGCTATTATGTGGTGCTATTTGATAGATGCGCTGGGCATTAAAACAGAACCATGTGGTTCATCTGGTAAAGAGCAAAAAAGAGTAAAAAAAAAAATAAGTGCAGAAGAAGCCTGTCCAACTACAAGGATGTGAGCTGTGGTTCTGCTTTTCATCTAATTTATAGTGTCTAATGCAAAGCAGGTGTGAGAGAGGAATTGGTTCAACAGCATGCGGCGAGCTAGCTGAGGTGTTAGCTAGCTCAGAGACACCGGGAGTTTAAGGAGGGCACAATGACTAGTCATTACATACGATTGAAACATTTTTTCTAAAGCACTGGTTATCTCAGGGGGGGCATTTATGCTGTTGTTGTTTCACTCTAAAGAGGGTAATTGCATGGCTTAGAGACGCCAATATAAATTTCCAGGAATCCATATGCACAAGGGGTCCAAACGTTTGCTAATCCTTTCGGTTTGGATTTCTACAGGGATGAGGCAAACGGTTCTAAAGCTTGTAGAGAGTAAAAATGTTTGATGTAATCAAGTCATCTACATGCCTACAGAAATAAAATTTTATCTTGTTTCTGTTTCCAAAGATTATTGTTACTAAAGAACTAGCATGTAAAATACCAACCCTCCACATGGTCGCAAAACCAGTGTCTCTTTCCGTGTACTACTACCAGAATGTCTCTGATTTAACTACATCTCAAGTAAGGTTATTATTAATGAAAATAAACTTTATTTAGATTGGGACAATGTACAGCTCAAACATAAACATTTGATGACACCATAAGCTTAAATAAGCTTATGGTGTCCCTTGACAAGTCTAATCTCAATACACAAACATGAACACACACATGCAGTCAAATATAGTTAATGTTTACATATCTGAGCGGTATTCAACCATTTTTTTCCAAGTTAGATTCCAAGAAAGTATTGAATAGTGAAATAAATTTAAAAAATGTTTTACATTAGCTTTGGAAAACAATAATTTTACATAACCTTCCATCTATGGTGGACTTAAAAGAAAGATCCCGACATCTTTTAATTGTGAGTAACTTACATGATCACCAGGTTGGGGTCTCATCAGGGAAACCTGGTCATAACCGCGGCGAAACAGAGCCCAGATGGCGTCCAGTTTACCCTGAGCAGCAGAGAATGGAGGGTTTCATGGTTACATCATTGGAGTTATTTCTGACTTTATGTGGAGAGTCTATCACTTAATTTGTTTTAAGACAAACTGACGTACTAAGAAATCATCCATGAGTCACTGAAGTGACTCTGTTTTGTGTTGTCTTGTGCAGGAATGTGTTTTGTAACAGTGATGAACCAAACCAGTAACCAAAGATTGCTGTAATTAATATTATTTACGCACAAATGCAACATTTTGAGGAAGGTCATAAAAAGTTGCATAGACTGCAGAATAGGATTGTTCAAATTCACGTGGATCCAACCAGTTTAAAAGACTAATTTTACCAACACCAAGTGTTTGGCGAGTGTAAAAAAAAAGAAAAAAATATATTTCTGACAGAACGGTAAACCACATTTTTTTTCTCTTAAGCTGTTGAAGAAGAATATTTTTCATCCATACTCTACATGGCATGTCTAAATTTTAAGAATAATCTGCCTTTCTAGGCGGTGTCCTTACAGTACATGCACTGTAATCAGCATGTGTAGAGAAGGGGCAGTGTGTATTTTTGTGTATGCTTATATGAAAAAGGTACAGTGCTGCATACTGTCTAAAAGGCTTTATTCATAAAGTCAGCAGAGAAATACAAGACTGAAACCGCTTCTGGTATTTTTTATGTTTTACCGTCAGCTCAGAGATTATTAGAAAGGAGTGTCTGCTTCCATTAATGTGAAATTTTCAACATTCAGTGGTTAAGAACTGAAAAACAAAAGGTCGTTTTAGCTTCCCGAAAACGAGTCAATGTGCTAAAGTGGAAATGGAATCACATTTGACCAAACAAGTTCTGACGAAACAAATGTCTACCTCACATGACTGACCAGCTGTTTATTTCTTGATCTTTCTCTATGTCTTTGTACAGCTTGCATCATCACTAATGCTGGTTGACATGACAGAAAAAATACAACTTATCTGATAGCTACACATTCTTGAAAACCTCTCTCCATTTTTCTGTGGTCCATGTTAGTTAGAAACTCTACTTTCTGTTACAGCGTCAACGGCTGACGTAATTACAGTTTTTATAGCCTGCTTAATTTGCGACAAACCAAATCACCTTTTTTTTCTTGTAGCATTTTGAAAGTTAGCCCAAAATTTGCGTGGCAGTTGGACTGAATCACAGCTAGCTTGTTCTCAGTGGTCCTGTGTGAGTTTGCGGCAGTGTGTACCTGGATGGGTGTGTACCACTTGCGGTTTTGAGGCGGCTTCTTGTTGTGAGCTTTCTTGGGTTTGGGCTCATAAGGTTCGTATTCCTGCTCCGGCATCTTCACTACCGCGTTCTTTGGCTTCTCCAGCTTAGCCCCTTCCTCGGTGGAGCCTTTACCGCCCCATCGTACCTGCAGGCAGCAGGCAACGCAGGAACGGTTAGTGACCTGTTTTTGGTTTTTATCAGAGGCGACTGGTTGAACTGCGTCAACGTGATCTAAACACCTCCATCCTCTTGATTCCACCGATTCCCCTTCCTCCGTAATATGAGGCATCCACAGTAGGCCACTTCTTCTTTGGCAGGCCATCGTCATCATCTGACTCCTGAAAACACAGAAATGAGACTTCTTTCGTTTTGCAACATTCCTAGTTAAAATTCTGAATGTGTTGGTGTGTGTGCAGCTGTTTTGACTCACAGGCTCTGGTGGAGGAGGAGGTGGAGGCTCCTTGATCACCTGCGGACAAGAAAGGATCTTCACAACAACGCACACCATTTCTGCTTCTATCCGACTAACTGATGAATGAAATGTTTATGAAAAAATATTTTTGTACATATTTGCTGAAACTGTCACTATGTGAAAGTATGGTAGGAGACAGATAATCTGAGAAAAAAAAATCAAGCTCCTCTGCCTTTTCCCAATGCTTACTAGAAACAATCAATCAGAGCCAGGAGGCGGGTCTTACCGTTGTCAATCACCCTCACGTCTATACAATAAAAAGATATTAGAGTTTCTTACCACGGTGCAGCACAAAGGCCAGAACCACCACATGAAGAGAAGGGCCAGCAGGAGGAACAAAACCAGCAGCGTTATCAGCAGGATGGTGCCATCAAACTGGACAACACACACACAAAGACACACACACACACACACACACACACACACACAGGAACAGCTTTACTACCAGTGAACAGCTTAAGGAGAAATTTGTTAGCAGCAAATGAAAGAAGGGAGATGGGAAGGAAGGATGAAATTCAGGAGGGATAGAAGGACAGGAACACGAAAGGAAAGTGTTAAACACTTTCAAGGAGAGCGTACAGACTTGAACATTTTCAACCTCCCAAACAATAAAGTTCAGGAAAAAGGCAGCAGTGGCGTGGGAACAGCAGGACGGCAGGATATGAATTTAAATCCACACACAGTGGATTATAAGTTCATCTTTAATTATCTCTCCTTCAGTGATCCCTTGCCAAGACCCTGTTGAATTTTCAGTGACCCCAACATATTAATCATGTGTTTGCATAAAGTCTGCTTCTGCTATTTTTAATCCATAGATTTCTGACCTCAGTTATCTGCAATGTAATTTTTAACATACATGGATTATAATCTAATCATACTAACTATGAGGATACTTTATTCTATTTATGTACAGTACTGTAAAAAAAAACATTTACTTACAGATTTAAAAAGAATCAGTACAGCTTAGGAAGGAATAAAACAAGGAAGGAACAAACTAAAGAAGGGCGGAAGAAAAAACAATGGACCAAAAAAGTTGGGAAGTTAGTGAAAAAAGATGAAAGGATGGCAGGAAGGAAGAACATTTTAAAAAAGGAAAGATAGATGTATGGATAAAACCACTAACAAGAAATGAAGGAGTTCTACAGAAAAAATGAAGTCATAAAGGGAAGCAAATTAGGAAAGATGGAAATAAATACATAAATTTCAGGAGGAAGGTAGATAATGAGAGAAAGAAAGACAGTAATGAATGAATGAAGTTTTGCAGGAAGGATGGGGAAAAGCAGTGAGTGTCCAAATAAGGAAGGAAGGAAACATAAGAATGAAGATATGCATCAAAAATGGAGCTAAGGAAAGAAGAAAATTAACAAACTAAAGTAGGAAGTACCAAGGAAGGAAGGGGAAAAATAGACTGAAAGTATGAAGATAAGAAAAACAAAGTCAATGGAGAGATAAAGGAAGTGATTGGGAAGGTAAATCAGTAAATATATAAGTTAAGAGGAAGCCCGTAGGTTAGTAAACAGGTTAGGAAGCAATTAAAAACCTAAGTACAAATTGAATTAAACAGGTGAAGGAAGGTTGAGGGAATCAGAATGACTTGACTGTAACCTTTGTTGAGAGATAGAAAATAAGCTGGCCAATGAAGACCAGAACGTAGTTCACTTCCAAAACAACTAACAATGATGCTACCAAGATCAGCAATCAGTGGATTTAAAGTCCCAAAGCTCTGACATGAGGAGGAACAGAGGAGAGCACTTTCAGCCTCGTCACCGTAGCGATTGTGTTCTTTGTCTCGCTAACTGTGGTCGATCTTAATCATTTAAGTCTCCTAATATATCCATCTGTTAACATTTCTCTCTTTTTCTCTCTAGCCTCCAGCTAAACATGGTTTTCATTGCAGACCGCAGATGAGGATCACATGTGGTTAGACTTTCCCCTATCTATCATAGGAGGGGGCGATGTTGAGGATTTATCTGAACTCTGCAGTGGGGCCGACTGAAGACAGCTCATCACAGGAACCAAATAAATATTTCTCAGAACCTAATCCCCTCCCCTCTATCAACAAGCAGTGAGTTCCTACAATGACTAAATTGTCTGGTTAGAAAACTTGATAGTCTAATTTATTAGGTGACAGTAAATGGGACCATATCTGGATGTGTGCATATTTTTGTCATGCAGTATGGTATTACACATATTAGGCTGGTTGCAAAATAATGAAACGATGAAATTTCAGTGGATTCCCATCTACTCGTGGTTCAGCAATCATGGATGTCTTCATAACTCTGAATTACTCATGGAAAATTTGCCTATTTGCAAATTTTTTCATAGAGCATTTTGTCACCTTCTTAAAATAATGGCCTATATAATTTTTTCCAAAAAGTGAATGACAAAAAAAAAAAAACTCCTCATTTTTGCCAAAAGATGACTTAGACAAAAAAAAAAAAAAAACAGAAAACAAAAAACACTCGCGGTTCAGCAATCATGGATGTCTTCATAACTCTGAATTACTCATGGAAAATTTGCCTATTTGCACATTTTTTCATAGAACATATTTAAAATATTTGAAAGAAAAGGCAGCGTTGGAAGCTGAAATGTCTAGTCGCAAGCAACTGTCTGTCGAAGTGGCCAATCCAGGAGTCCCATTTATTTTCCCTGTCTGTGTACTCACAAGAGCAGAGATGCTGTAGATAGTAGCTTCGGTTTTACTGCCAAAGCATTTCTATGACCTAGAGATGCTAGTTGTTAGCCTGTCCAATACTAACAACTAGCATGCCTAGTTGTTAGTATTGGACAGAGTGGGGTTAGCCTATCAACGCTAACCCCACTCTATCAACGCTAATACCAACCTATCCAGAGCTAATGGACAGTAGAGGAAGCTTAGGCAATCCAGTGGGTGTCCAGCCTAGACATGCTAGTCATGAACTTCTCCAAAGCTAACGCAGCCTGTCATTAATGAGATAGTAGCTAACTTTGGAATACATATAGCCTCCTGAGACAAGGAAGTAGCCACCACTGGGTGTGCTATAGTTTTAATTTTGGCGCTAATGGTGTTTGACTGTTTATAGTAAACAGTTATAAGTGTTTTTAGAGGGGGTGTGAAGTATTCAAGGATTTTAGCTATCCGCTGTACATTTTTATTTGATATCTTATGGGTCTTAAGCATATTTTAACCTTTCCCTTCTCTCTAATTGTAATAGCATGCTAAGTTGGGATGTATACATCATAAACCACATAGTTTGCTCTCATGGTTTCTTGTCCCAGCTTTGTGGATTGGGGCAGGGGGCCTTTAAAGGGAATATTACTTGTTGGTTAGATGGAATCTTCTGTTTCCATATGTCCCACCATATGTTTTTGTTTAGGTAAATTTACTTTAAATTACTTTAAATGGAATGTCAACCATTTTCCCACTAGCTGAGTAATAAACATTTAAACAGAAGTAGAGGATTCATCAGTCAGTGTCGTTATGGGACCTTTCCCTTTTACTTTTCAAAGAAAACACATATCGTGGTCTTGAACTTGCTTCTCTAAGTTTTTTTCCTTTCCTTTGCTGGAGAGTCCAGTGGGTCTTTTTGGATGCATCATTGCTAGTAATAACACCAAAAAGGGAGGATGAAGAAGACAAAGAAGACAAATGGTTCATCCCACAGACCAAAACACCAGATTTCTAGGAAAGGAAGGGAAGGGCATCATGTCCTGCCTTGCAAAAGTATCCGTACTGAACATTTTTACACATCACATCCACAAACTGCCGTGTAGTTTACCATAATTTTATGTAGCATGACTTACATGTTTTGTTTTTTTAATCTTTCATAGAAACACTAAAGCCCCCAAATAGAATCCAGTCAGTATATATGATCCAGTTGTGTCTGTGAATAAATATAGCTGTTCTCCAGATGTTTCTTGGAGAATATTTAAGAAAGAGATGCAAGAAGAGGCCATTAAAACTCCAGACAGCAAACAAGTGGAAGACGATGCTCTAGACAGAGGACAGTGAAAGTTTTGGCCCACATGTACAAAGGCCTGAAACCTATCACTGGAGACTTTAGACAGGGGTAAACGTTCCCCTTCCAGCTGGACAATTGTTGTTAGGAACATGTTGGTACCAGTTCTGTTTGGACTTGGGCTGCTTTTAGTGATATTCTGCAAAAATGTTGCCATTATTTACAAGTTAAGTCTAAATAAATTAACCTTAACATAGAAGTAAAATGTACTGACTCAAGAGGGCAAAACATTAATGCCTGCCACATTTTTCAGGTTTTCTTTCAACTTCACAATTGCTACTTTGTCTTGGTCTATCACAAAAAAATCCCAATAAACACAAATTTTGTGTTTGTAAAGTGGCAAAAAGTAAAAAAAACAAAAAAAAAAAAAAAAACACATATATATCTGGAAGACATGCTAAAAAAAATGTGCCCATAAATTTACGATTGCATTAAAAAAAAAAGTAAAATAATTACTTACACACTCTGTGGTGGTGATGTGGACGTTGCTGCCGATGAAGGACAGACCGTCGTTCATGCTCACTTGGAGATAAATCACCCTGAAATACACACAGAAATGAGCAAGAGCATCAATAATGTGTAAATATCACAATATCGTCCACAAAAAGCGTAACTCATTCAGTCTCTTTCACCAGAATGATGTCATTCAAAGTTGGCTTCACAGCAGAATCACGTCACCAAACACTGTGCTAGCTATGAGGGGAGATTGTAACTGTAACCAAAAGGTTCCAACCACAAAACTCAAGGGATAAAGAGCCGGAGGAGACAGACATTTAACCCGACAGTAAATTACAATGACTAATCCTGCTCACTCCAGAATTTTCTTTTCAGTCTCCAGAATGTGTTGTTTTCGTCTCACTGTAGCTGCTGAAATCTCTAATCTCCCTTGAGGGCATATTGTTAAAAGTTGTCCAACAAATGAGGAGCCTGACTTGTACTTACAGGCTCCATTTCACTCGTAATTGAGCTGGCTTTAACCGAACGAACCAGATACAGAATTTTTCCACTTTGTTTAAGCAAGAAAGGAGAAAAAACCCCTTCGAGGTGGTTGTAACTGGGGGAGCCAGCACAGTAAACACAGAGACATTGTAGTTTTAATAAACTACAATGGAAAAACCCGCCAATTGAGGTTGCTTTTTGTTTCTCTGGGAATTACATCACCCAAACTCAACTTTCAATTATCCTTCTGGTTTTTCTTTCCAACAGACTCCCATATCAAAACAAGCTTCTGTCCATGCCCCACTTCTGACCTCATCTGTATATCCAACATATCTTCCTGGATCATCCCACCCTCCACCTCTAACACTGGAGAACAATTCGGAGAACTGCCTCATCTCTAGGGCTTTTTGTGGTATCACTCCTGAAAACGGGGATGACAGGGGGTCAGGTGAACAGAAAGAAGCAAAACCTTCGATCTGTCTCGCATATTTGTCAGAGTCCATACAGACGATGTCAAATGATCATTCAAAAAAAAAGAAGAAAACAAAAATCCAAAATTGTTCAAATGAAAAATTCCAAGAGAATGATAGAGCAGCCTGAGAAGACCTTGAAGCCAGAATTAAAGGATGTGGAGGGAAAAAAACAACAAAGTGCTGGGGAGGAAATGTAGAGCATGGTCACAGACAGCTGTTTCACAAGGAAGTGAAGCAGACAGCTGTCTGAACTGCAGCTGATGCAGCACTGCTGCTTCATTTACCTCTAATTATTGTGAACAGCTAAACCCAGAACCTTAACCCCAACCCCAACTTCACACCTAAATCCCCCCTGACCCCATACCACCCACCCAACCAAGGCCTGGCAGTTCATAGCAACAAGGTGTGAAAAACCTTGTAATGACTTCATCTTTTGTCCCAGCAGCACAGTGTCACACTGGAAGTTGAACATTTTATTTGAGTACATTTATTTAGTATGGAACAAAAAAAAAATCATATTAACAGCAGTTGTTAACTATATCACTGGTGTATAACCACTTTTTTCCCACCTTGCCCTTATCACCAATACTGATACCGATTATTTTTATTTACATTTGATATGTCATCAGACTTCTGACTTATGTGTTTTTGTAGTTTTTCCTTTTAATTCTTTTTTTGTTAAAACCTAGGACAGAATTTGGAAAAAAATTAAGTGTCTACAAAGTACTTTTAACACCATAGTGACATGGTTTATGTGCATTGTTTCTAAATAAACAAAGAGCAAAAACAATCATCTGAGAGCAAATCAAAACAAAATCTTTTTTGAGGCAGAGTTGACAAACTGCAAAACAAAAATAAAATAAAATTTGACGAGGAAATCTTGCTAGCATTTATCCGATCCGATACTGATATTGACTAGGTATCGATATTATCGATATTTGTGGATTGATCTGCCAGCCTCCCATATTTTCATTCTTTGATGCATTTGTTCCAGAAAAAACTCTGCTAGACTTTATGCTGATTTTTGAATATTTTTTTTATGGTTATTATTCGAACTTAAATGCCACTTCTATTAGATGTAACGACAAAGAGTCCCTGAAATGACCCAGATACGCAGAACAACATGTGACATCACACGCAGCAGTAAACATAGATGCTACAGATGTCAGCGTGTGTGCATTAATTATGTAGTTGTCGTGCAGTTGGATTCTTTCTCATCTGTTTTTAACTTCTGATCTCTCCAGTCTGTCACACTTTATTACATGGAAGTCGGAAAAAATGCAACATGGCTGTTCAGATTGCGGTTGCTTTGAAAAACATTAGATATGTATTCAATTTAGGACCAAAGGTCTGGATATGATGAAAACAAAATCTGATTTGTGCTGTTCAAATGGTCACAAATAATTTGACATGGTTTCACATGTGGACAAAAACAAACTTTTTTTTTGCAATGTGAAGTTAAGAGTTTGGCAACACTCCCATGGAATTGGTTAGCATGTAGAGCACGTCTAATGGTTGTTATGGAAACGTGTTTACGTTTCCATAACAAGACACCACTTTTCTAGAACAGTGAGATTTGTACTTTTATTTTTTCTAACTTTCCTTTCCATCCTCACTGTGTGCTGGTGACCTGTGGCCAAAGGAAATATAACTCTATATCCTCTAATATTTCTACCACAGGGAAACAGAAAGTCAAGGATTATTTATTAAACTTTAAATAATCTAATCAAATAAGGATTCTTTATTTATTTGTAAGAAATTTTAGGAAAATCACGTTTTATTGACCTTCCACATTTAATGAATTTAACTTTTTATATGAAATTGTTTCCCTCTGAATAGCAGCACTCAAATGAAAAATTAGATTTTTCAAAATTTCTCAATGTGAGTTACTTTACTATTGGTGCCAATAAATGCAGACAGTAAAATATGTATAAGCTGTAATTTTATGACCGTGCACTTACAGCAATACCAACATGTCCTCCTGTGATACAAAGTTTTTTCACATTAATTCATTGGTTAGTCATACATTTTTAAAATTATTAAGCATTTATATAGATAAACACATGTTAGACATCAAGTGAAACACTCGCCTAATTCTGGCTTAAGGTCGCCTCTTGTTTGGTTTCTATAAATGTAAAGAGCCAATCCTGTTTTCCCCCAGCTCCCCTGCTGAGAACCTTGCATGCTACCAACATGTGGTCCCACACATGAAAGACCTGGCTAGCTGCTACACAGCTTTGATCAGGCAAACCCAGACAAAGAGACAGCTGAATGAAAATAAAAAGCCTTATGGACGGCGGAGGATTTAAAAAAAAAAGAAGTTAATCTGTAGCTAAGACCATAAAAGAAGACAGTCAATAAGAAAAAGGACAGACGGGCAGAAAGATGAGAGAATGCAAAATCCTCCACACAGGTGGTGAAATGGGCAACGGATTAGCTCAGAATCTTCAATCCCTTCGCTGTCTGATTTCCGAGGGCTAGCATGAAGATCTGTTTTTTTTTTTCCCCCCCGACTGCTGTGGGAGAATAAATGTACGGAATTTGTAGCAAAAAGGAATGATTTAGGTTTAAGGTATGTGGAGGGAGAGAAACTGTCCATCTCTCCTCCCCCCTGGTTTCCCTCTGTGTTTATAAAGTCTTTAACGCCGTCCACTCAGACTCGTATTCTGTGGCCCTGAGCTCTTTTCTTCCCATAAAGACTTGGGTCAGAGAGGTTTGCGGATAGTTGATGTTGGAACACGGTTGGGGTCTAAATAAGAGCACAGAAATGTGATGTAGGAGCAAATCTGGTCGCTGCGTAGTTTGCACTGTGCAAACAAATTCCTTCCTGTTGAACGTTTTCGTTAAAACCTGAAAAGTTCAGCGTGTTTTATTAGGATTTTATGTGATGGAGGAACCAAAAGAAGTGGAAGGAAAATGATCCAATTGCCAGTGTTTTAGGCTTCCTTCAGCTTTGTCACTTCTATGAACAACAATGTTCAAGTCTTGCCACAGATTCTTGATTGGATTTAGGTCTGGTCTTTGATTAGGCCACTGAAAAACACGACTATGCTTTGAACGAAACCATTTACTGTGTGTCTTAGCTCACGGTACAATAAAAGCCAAACCTACTCCCTGTTCTTTTTCAGCTCTGGGTTTTCTTCCAGGGTTACGGTGCAGTTTCAGTGCCAAAATTAAGACTACAGTGGACCCAGCAGTGACTGCTTCCTTGTCATAATTATTTCCATTCCAGAGCTAGCTACTGACCTGATTAATGATAAGGTCGACACCGGTAGCTGAGCAGCTGGTGCTGGAAATGAGAAGGAGACTACTCATTTACTTTAGCTTTGAAGATGCTAGTGACTAGCATGCCAAGGCTGGTCAGCTTCTTGACTGCCTTGTTCCTCTCCCGGTCTCTAGCATGGATAGACTAACGTTAGCATAGGAGTTGCTGGGGTTAACCTTTGTAACTAGCATACCTGGTCATCCAGGACTAGTGTTAATGGAAACTTTATCAAGAAAAATGGTCGGCACACAACATCTGTAAGCGTCATAAAATAGATGATTTTACATTTGTTCTTTTGTCAGAGTTTACTGTAATCCAGTATGACACCAAGCATAAACATTCTGTATAATATAGAGATGAAGTTGGCTTCTGATTTGGTGGATGTCTACAGGATGGTTCCTCCTTTCTTTTTATTATTTTTATGACTCTAAACATGTTACAATCACAACAAAATATGTTCCACAAAGTGTTCAACTGTTCAAATTTCACATTTATAAAAGAATAAATAAATACATCTAAAAATTTGCAGGGCATATTCCACCAACATAATATTCAGAGAACAATAAACAATGTCTTCAGATGCTATTTGTCCACTGATATTCTCTAACAAGCAGCTGGATTTATACTGATTGTAATCACACACAGTTGGACTCAGCTGGCAGGTAGTTGGGAGAGGATTTTATTCTTTTTGAAAACAAATGCATGCCACACTTTCAGTGGCTTTCACAGAAATACTCAATAAAATACTCTGAGTTTGTGATTGCAGTTTGGTATCAGGTCCAACATGATTTTTTTCTGAAGAGTCCTAATGTAATATTCTCAAACAACAGCCGTGTCCAAGTAGTTAAAGCTGGTTTGTTGCTAGAAGCCAAAAGCTCTTGGAAAAAAACATCCCCCGTTTCAATATGGCGCCTCCCTTTCACTTTCTAGTTCCTCGAGGAAATGATTTGCTCTTTAGCTGGTAAATGGCCTCACAGACTTGGCTCTATACAAATACCATGCAGAGTGTTTAAGAGTTCTTTTCTTGGCTGGCTGGAAAAGTCAGCGACTACAGCGACCTTTCCTGCCCAAAAGAACTGGCAAGACGTCAGCCGAGACATTTCGTGAGATTTGCAAGTTTTGTCGTCCAGATCCGCCGGTGCCTCACAAAGAGGAATCTGCTCTCGTTTTTTTACTGCTCAGGACAAACGCACAAAGGCTTCGTCCCTGGTGTGAGCTGGCACAGCTGCACCGCCTTTTATATTTTCCTAGAACTATTCTAGGAACTAGAGAATAGGAGTATGACTTCAGATAGAGATCATAAAAACAGCTAATGTATGGCAGATTTCTGATGCACATGTTCCCCTGGCTTTATACAAGGAGGGCAGTGTGCATAATGCAATCTGTCTAAGAAACAGCCCCTTTGCATTAGCAAACCGTAAGAGTTCATGAAGCTATAAAAAGAGAGACACCTACTTTCCAACCTCATCGATGACAGGAGCTGGACACAGTAAGAATGTGTTTTCTACACCAGCAGGCTTTTCATCTAAAGGGCAGAAACACAAGGAGAAATTAGTTTCCTGCAAAGGTATTCACACTCATTGAACACACTAACTAACCCACACTAACCATAATCACATTACAACCACAAATGGGCTGTAAAGGAGCATGAAGCTGCCACCACCATGTTTTACAGTAGGAGTTAGTAGGTGTTGAAGGTGATGTGCAGTGTGTCTTCCACCTGAGCAGCGTGTCTCTCTGCAGCCCTTCCAGAGTTACTGGTCATATCTGTTGCTGTGTCTTGATAGGTTTGCACTTGTAGTATGCTCTATTTACTAAGTAGGTGACTTCTGAAGGCAACTGCTTACACTTTATTTAGGGGTATGAGAGTAAAAGGGGCTGAATACAAATACATGTCGGTCTAACACATAAAATCCTAATAAAATCCACTCAATTCTGTGGTTATAATTTAACCAAAAGTTAAATATCTCAGAAGACATGAACACCATCGCTGTGTTCATGTGAATCTTTTTGAAAGATGAGAATGTTATCTTGTAAATGTAGATCAATGTAGCTATTTTATTTTCAGTATTATACCTTTTGCTACTCAGTGATATAGAAATGAACAGATGTATTGTAGAAAACCAGCTGAACTTTGTTACTGACTGTTCTATTTATAAAAAAAAAAAGCCAACAGGCCCAGAGCGGGTCTACTCACTGACTGTGATGGTATCGTTGATTTTGAAGCTGCAGAGCACCTGGTCGATGTTTCTTGCGTGGAGGAATCCGTTTCCCCTCACCACGGCTTGAAATGTCTCTGGTTGCACAAACATCACGTTTGTCATTTTTATAATATGAAAGATTTCACAAAATATGACTCACTAAGGTAGACACAAATAAACAAAACACAGGGAATCAGCTCCAATAACATGGCAAGCATTTTTCAAGGAGAGCCCTCTGTAGTGAAAGAGGCAAAAGCAAACGCATTGCTGGCAACCAGGACAAGACGATGGGTACGCTTTAATGTTTGAGAGGGGTTCAAACAGGCAAGTAAAACTCCTCTATCTACAACTTTAAAGGTGTAAAAAAACATTTATTTATTTAAACAGCAGCTTCTAGATGGCTAAGTATGGATAGAAAATAGCAAAGAATCTTAATGAACCACATACCTGCTTCTTATCCAGTAGTAAAGGAACTAGAGGCTAATGTGGCTGATAGTAAAATGACTAAAAATTAACAAACGGTCTACCCATCCAATTGTAGCAACTAATCTGAACCATCTGCAGCCTTCCCTGCTGTCAGTAGTAGGCCACCAAAATGATGCAAAGTTACCAGAAACACACAATCTGAACAGGGCTGCTGTGGAACACATTAGCATGGAACAAATCCTTGTTTTACACTGTAAAAAGCATTGTTTACATTTTAAGAGCAACATTTTCTCAAGTAAGAACTACTGTAGTAAAGAAACGTCTGCAATGTTATTTAACTGGGGATGAGCTGTGTGAATACAACATTCCTCACTCTTTAAAAACCACTTTAGCTTTTCCAGATAACAGTACTGAAAATGTCGTCATACTTAACTGGTTATATTTCTTTCATCTTTGTCAGAGAAAACCCTTTGTAAAAAGATTGATGCGATATAACAAGTTGCATCGAGTGTCATGTTGAAAATTTTTCTATCGTGACTACCCTAATATGTAGGCATACTCAGGGTTTCCCCTAGTGTATTATAAGCCTGTTAGGCCACCAGGCTTTACTTGTGCCCCTACCAGGCTAACCACTGCATATTTATTCAAGTCTTTTTAAAATGTTTAGATTTTTTAAGGTTTTATAGTTGGTGTTCAGGTATTAATCTTCCAGTTTTTCAATAACATAATTATCAAGTGATATTTTCAAATTTCCTGTCAACTTTAAACATTTTTTAACTCAAAAACATGACGGGCCACTGGATGAATGACTGCCCTAGTGCCCAACCTCCGGGCTTAGCAAGTTTTCTGGGGGAAACTTTGCATATTCTTATATTTTAATGACCATATTGGAGGAGGAACGACAAAAACAGTAACAAAATAAATGAGGCAAGGAAAAAAAAGCATGTTTTCTTAGAGAAGAAGCACAAATCACATGTGATCCAGTATTACAATGTTAAAGGAAACTAACATCATGGGAAAGGAAACAAAATAAATTTCCCTTGGCTAATTATTAAATGGTTTGGTAATTCCCTGTTTCATGGAATACAAAACAGAAGCAGATGCAAAAAACACACAGCTCCTCTGCTTTTACCCTTACAGATATCATTAACCCCAGTTTTCATCTGTTCATTTGAGCTATTTATTATCCGACTTATTTTTCAATAATGGTTTTACGCTCTCTCTCTGTTGGTATTACACTGAAGGATGTCTACTGTACATTTCATCTCCAGTGAAAGATTCCTGTAACTGCAGCGCTGTTCTCACGGTCATTACATTTAATGTGACCCAGTGATGTTACTCCTGCTGTAGTCCCCCATCGAAGCAGATTTCCGGTAAGTGACCCTTCAGGCTGCATGTGGTCATTTTTCAGTCTGGGATAGTCATAAAAGAAGGAAGCCAAACCAAAATGCTTCCTATTGAAATGACCGTAGTTCATGGGTGAATTCAATGATGGCATTGCTCTCATAAACTCAAGAGAGACCCATTTATTGTGTGTATGCCTTTCTGAGAGTGTGTTTTTCCAATTACCCACCTCCAGCACACACACTCGACGGCTCTGCTGCCAATATTTCAATACAGGATTTCTTGATAATCTGAAAAAGTAAAGGCAGCAGTGATTTAGGAACACACATAATAATTGTAATGTGCTTGCAAAATTTAATGGCTTTTATAGAGCTCTTGAAAACTGTTTTGGCACTAAAGCAAAATTTGTCATGTCTCGAGTATCCAAAGCCCTGGGTGGGGGGTGGCGGTCAAAGCTAAATCACCTCCTTAAGATTTTGCCAACCTACATTAGGCTCCAGTGTTTCCTGAGGGATCCCAAAAGATTCACCGCCCCCAGACACTGTTCCTCTACTCCTTAGGGTGACCCAGATGGCATCGCCTCCACTAGTGAGTGTTCTTGTATGTGTAGAGGGGCACCAGGAGGGTTTGCCTCCATCTTTGACTCTTCTTGAACCCCTAGGGTGCCCCAGGTACCCCTGCTCCCTCCTGAACCCCTGTTCCAGGAGGGTTTGCAGCCACCAGAGACTGTTCCTCTGTTCCTTAGGGTGACCAAGGAACACCCTAAGGTGTTCATCTTCTCCACTGACTGTTCTTTTACCTCCCACCCCCTAGATGTCTGAATTCTCAGTGTCACAGTTGGATGTACAGTAGACTTTTACAGTAGAGAGGAGTTAGGTTACCGAGTCGATGACACCCCTAAGGGCAAGGAACCCTCCTAGCACAGGAAACACATGTTCTATGGTGTCCGCAATGGTGGCCAGCTAGAGTTGGTGAGAGAGAAAGACAAAAAAGAACATGCAAAGAGGAAAGTGATGAACAAATGAAGAAAATGACTTTTTAAGAAAATATTTATTTTAAAAAAACCTTCAAAAACAGATACTCACTCAGAAAATCAATATTTATAACAAGCCTACACTGGTTTGTTAATCGAACATCAATACAGTATCTACAAATCTTCTCACTGATTTACTATTGTTTGTCAGTAGAAGGAGCTATAGCAACAATTGTACCTATATCCTCAAAACCATAAATTATTGTATCAAAACTAAATTTATGGTCTAAAGTCCATTACTGTCTGGGTCTCTTTCAACTATTGAAATAAATTTGCACCTATTGTTGGAACTTGTGCTTTTATTTGGAAACAATACTGTATTACATAATAATGCTTGGTGGTTATGAAGTTTTTTTTTCAATTTAGAGGCACAAAAAATATAACTTGTGCTAAACTTAGAACATCTGATTAGATTTGGGAAATTTTCCTTTTCTTTTTCATTTAAGCAACTGCTGCAAATCTATGGTCAATTAATTATTGTAGCTACCGTTCTCAGTGGAAAGAATTATTAGTTGAAAGTACTTCTTAGCTCAGTGCTGGCTGAGAAGTAGAAGGCAGTAAAAGCACCCCACCATAAAAGGCTTTTTCAAGCATCCAAAGACACCGTTAGGAAAAACTCAGGAAAACAGAAAAACTCTCAAGTCCAAAAACACCTTTCTCAAGTAATTTATTTTAATCTACCTTCATCTGTATTGAACTTTACTTTTTCAATTTATGAAGTGCTGAGTCTATAAAGCTGACTGAACCGTTCCTATGCCACTTCAGTGGCTAGTATGGGTTCGTTTTGGCCAATGATGTATTAAGTCCACCTGGTTGAGACCATGTTTGTGGGAAATGTGCCTGGGTTTGGACTGCTAACAGAGGCTTGGACCCCTTCACAACTGCTTGCTATTCTAATTTTCTTTTTATATTAGAGTCACTTTAGAGGAGAGCCTCATCTTACAACTTCCTTACCTGTGTTTCATTAAAGTCTTTGACACCAACACAGTACACGATCGCTCCCAGACGTCTGGCTTCCTCTGCCTGTCGGAAGAGTACAGACAAAAAGTCATATGAGGACAGAACTCGTCTCTCCAGGTTAGCTCTTTGTGGTAGTTCCTGATTGAAGATAGTTGGATATTAGACAGAGTACGGATTTCTTACCTGCTGTTGTGCATCGAAGAGCTGCTGCTCTTGCAGGTCACCATCTGTCAGAGCGATGATCACACTGGCTGTCCCTGAAAGATATGAGCAAAGAGCCATAACTTTAAGATTCAAAGTAAACTGCAGAAATGTATGACGACACTGAAGACGTCAGCTACTCACCAAAGTTTTCCTTGCGTATCTGGTCGTTTGCCTTTAAGCAGACAGACATGTTCTTTGTTAGAGGAGATTTTAGCAGGCAGTCCTAAAAAGCTTTTAATTTGTCCTGAATTACTTATTGTGTGTTTTAATGTGTGTGTTACAATGCCTGCTTACACTCTGCAGCCCCAGGTCCATCAGAGTATCCCCACCAGGTTTCTCTTTCCTCAGAGCATTCAGGCCCTTTTGGATAGTCACTCTGTAGAGCAGAAAAACAGCTGGGGTCAAATCGCAAAGTTAATCATGTACTTTTCCTGTGAAATAGTTAAATATTCTGTCTGTTGTTTTGTCTGCAGTTTCTTGCTTTTGCAACTAGGAATCATTTAAATTTCATTTTGGAAATGATTGGTTTGTTAAATGATCTAAGTGTATTTATCAGGTATTCCTGTGGCCCCGCTTTGCATAGCCAGTATTTTTTAAACAAGAAGCGTTGTCAAGCAGATGCCTAGTAGAATTGTATTTTGGACACCATTTTTTAAATCTGAAAACAGAATAGATTTATTATACCTTTATACTGACACAATCAATCAATATTAAGGTTTAATAATAATGATAAAATATTATATTATTACAGTCTGGAAATTTTAGGTAATTTTTCCAACTTTTTTTCAATTTGGTGTTGACTAACTTTCAATTAATCATCAAGTCATTTCAATGCTTTTACAGTCTTGCTGCTAAGCTAATACTAGCATGTTAACTCAATTTTAATGAGCACTAGGCAGAAACTCTGCTTGAAATGAAATATCTGTTGCTATCAGGAGAGCTGGATAGAGATTGCAGCATCCACAAGTATTACACAGTAGCAATAATAATGTAGACCATGTGATATTAATTGAAATCTTAATTTACTGCATATACATGGCACTGATGTTAATTTTTTGTCATAGTGGAAACTTTGTAAGCAAAGGCTGATTCGTAAATGACTTTTTTAAGAAAACATAGTTGGCATATATAATCTGTATGTCCAGTCAATTGCAATCAGTTGGTAAAATGTGGTAGAGAATTGGAAAATTAGGTTTTTGTAAAAAATTTTTACAGCAATATTTTCTGATGTTTTCGAGGTAGTTTTCACCGTCACTTGTTTGCAACATATATGGTTACAACTTCGTCTAACAATTTAGACGTTTACTTAAATATTTAACTACACCTATTGAGACATTTAGCTAAATGTTAAAGCAACCACCTAGCAAGATAGACAAAAAAATCCTTTAAATTTTGAGTGTGTAACTTTACACACTGTGCCACATGTTATAACATGTAAAAGCTTTAGTGCTTTAACCTTCACTAGCAGCAAACTTTGTAGAAAAAAATGTTTTCCATAAAAAAAAATAAAATAGAACTTTAAAGGCTCACATAAAAACGAACCAGATGTGATTTTGGAGCCGATCGTGGAGTTTTACCGTAGAGGAAATACAGCATGATTTTTAACTGGCAAGTTTAACCACTGGCTAGCTATAATATTACTTCAGCCTCTTTGTGCGGTTCGATGTTTTAACAACCTGGACGAGTTCACCGCAAACACTGTAAGGGTCGAGGGATCGGCACAAACTGTCCACACAAACTGGGGACAATGACGGAGCTTGGGAGTGAAATCTGCCATCAATCTGTCATTTGCGTTTCCCAGCTTAAAAGAGGGGATTTTCTGATGAGTTCAAGTTGTAGAGCTGACCTTTAAAATAGAGGAAGTAGTAGGGGAAAAAGAACAGTGTAGAAAATATAAATGACCTAGTTTATCCGTCAGAGGGAGAGGTAAATTCATGTTTTTTTTGTTTGTTTTTTTAAAGGGGGGATTTCTGCTCCTCCTCTAGTAGTTTGACATCTCAGAGATCTTTAATTACAACCTCACATTGTGCCAGCATGTGAAAAAGGAAACAACGTCCTCAGCGATGGACACGAATAACAACACAGTCTGCTTTTAATTGCTTTTATATAACAGTTACAGTTAATCCCAGTAAATGAATTTCTATTAAAATATTACCAGTGAAATTAGAGCCAAGTGAAATCACCTGTTTTCTGTTAGCTTCATGATGGTGGACGCTCTGGAGCTGAATGTTATGAAGGACATCCTCAGCATGGGACTGGAACGGGGAAGGGAAGAGAAAAAAAACAAAACGTTAGAATATATAAACACACAGAGCAGTTAGCTGTGGAACAAACCGTGCCAACAATCTGAGTATGATGTCACCGACAGAAAGATTCATGTGTTTTCTTGCTGCTTTCCTCAAACAGACCTGTTTTTGAAGAACTGCTGGATTTATACTGAAATTAAAAGCTCTATTTACAAATGAGGTGTGGTCTGACATTTGCGGTTGGAATGGGACAAAACATGAAAAATTTTAAGGAGCATAATTGTGCAAGTCACTCTGAATATACAGGAATACAATGATAACATGGACAGAGTTGTACCAGAGGGCAGGAACCAAACCCCCAGTGACAGGCAGTGACCTAGTTTTGATATGAAAACTATGTCACAGCATCTCAACATGTGAATTTGTGTTTATTTGTAGATGAAGTCTGTTTGGGGAAAGTTTTGCTGATAGGTTCCAAGCCTGCGAGGTGGACGCGGTATTGTTTATGACAGACGGCAAGCTAAAGGATTGTTGTTGTTCGTGCTTCTCCGTCGTGTTTATTTAAAGATGAAACTTTGGGGGAAGAACAGATCTCTGCTCTAAATGGATCCTTCGGCCAAGGAGAAACGAGGAGGTAGTATTTGGCAAAAACAAAGCAGGAAAAAAAAAAGAAAGGAAAAAAGACGGCCCAAAATCTGTACGGCTTGTTTTTAATGTGTGAATTTAAATTTATTAAATGATTTATTGAACAAAAACAAGTTGAATTCGTTGAACAGAATCTTTAGACAAATGTTAGGATATAAACCCAATACTGCTTATTGTATTTAAGGCCCCAAAACCTCCAGTGTCTGAAAGCAACCAAACCAACAAGAGGCGTTGGTTTGAATTGGTCTGTATTTATTTGCTGGTGTGGGAGGTATAACGTTTTGTTTACCAAGTTAGTAAGGTGTGTTTTCCTGTAACAATAGATTCTTTAACCAGGAAGTCAGTAGCTGTCAGGACACCAACAATGAAGTTTTACACATTGGCTACCCACCAATTAAACCCTGTTTAATGCTTCTCTGCCGGCTTACTTTAACAAGACTATGCGATCGCGGACATGCTTGTGAAGAATCTCTTACCTTTTAAACTTCTCTGCCAAGTTCTTCACGAATTCAAAGATTTCATTCCAGTGGCCAATCACACTGCCAGACCTGCAGAACGGGAGAGCACAAATGAATGTGAGAAACATCATAAAGTTTTCTCTGTATCTCTACGTAGGCGATAACTTCCATATACTCCACAGCTACCTCATACTATTGTAAGATGTGTCTTACCAAAGCAGCACTGGGAACCACAAAAATAGTTCACTTTAAGCCATCGAACAGACTGAGCTCCATATGGCAAAGCGTTTAAACAGGAAAATTACAGCGTGGCTGGCCAAGAGCAACTGAGGCTCAAAACATCCACAGTGTAAAGAACAAGCTGGAAATATGCAAGGAGAAACACAATGGTCAAATATTTCACTTTAAGTCAAACTATTGTTATGGCTTCCTTTTTTTTGTACAAGTTGTCAAAGCATGTCGGAAAGTTGGAGGTCACAGAGCGACCCCAATGTCAAATCCAATATGATCGCCATGTTTGTAAAACGTAGCAAAGGTTGCAGAAATATTTGATTGTATCTCATTGCCACACATAGTTCAAGACAAGCTGTTTGTGAAAATGTACCTTTAGTCTTTGAATGCTGAAAAATAAATAAAAAAAACAACAAAAGAAAAAACCTTTGATGTCGATTTATCACTACAACTAGTTTGCCACGTCACTTAGCACAACAACTAGCGAAGTTGCTTGTTTTTTGACTTGCGGTTGTTGATGAGAGTAGTTCCAGTACAGGAGTAAAGTTCCAACTTGCATTAATACAGCTAACAACAAATGAATTTGACTTACTCATTACATTTTATCAAACATTTAGCAGCTATGATTGACAAAACATAAAACTAACAGCTACAAAAGTAAGCTAGCTGTCACTAGACTTTAAAAGAAACAGTATCAACTTTGAATTTTAGCTGTTTAAGTACACAAGGAAATCTTGTGTAGCATCATAATTAGCGTGAACCACATTAGCTGCCAGCTACACATAGAGAAAAGAGGCAAGTAATTAAATCTAGGGTCTAATTTAGCAGCTCCCTTTATCACCAAAAAGGCGCCTGAAGGCTGAGTAAATAGGAGCTAGTCTCCCCAGGAAAGCTTCTATAAAACCGGACTGTTACGAAACGTCTCCCTGAGAGGCGGCCTACATTTCCTCTGTCCAGACTAGCTCTGTGAGTTTGCAGCAGTTTTATTAGCTGAGAGCCTTACAGGAAGGGGCAAACGGACCACCTGTTAACTAACTAACGAGGTGGAGATTAAGAGTTGTGAAACAAACAAAGCGACCAAATTCGAAGAGTGAAAGAAAAGAAGGCGTTAGGCTGTGTAGAGAGTAGCTTACGTAACCACATTAAGCAAAGCTTAGCTAAGCAGAACTGCTTTGTTAGAAAGTAAAACTGTTCACACACTTTCAGACGACATGCCAGACAGAGTGTGTTCTTGTGAAAGAATAGAACTGTGTTAGTTACATCAATCCCATTTTGATTATTTTACACCAATAATTAAAAAAACCTGAATGTTTCAGACTAAACTAGGACCATGCTAGGTTGTTTTAGTCATTGAACCTCTTGTAATATCCCTCCAAAGACGTGAGCACATTCAGGGCTTTCATATTTGCTTCACATTTGGTTTCTCTTTATGCAGATGACATTACTTTTTATTTCAAACTCCCTTATGTGTTTTTTTTAACTGCCTCTGCTTTTATTACTTAACTACTTTGCTTCCTTTTCAAATTAAACATTAAGTCTGCACAAAAGTGAACAAAAAAGTTCTTAAACTGGAGCTTTGTGACTTCACCTTTACAACAGTCACATATGAGTTTACCTTCCTAAGATTCACAGTAGCAAAAACGACAAACATTTTCTTAAAATCGATTTTACCTCTTAAATAAAGTCAAATTGAGGCTGTGGCAACGGTCACCCTGACATACAACTTTGACGAACTGCATTAAGGCTTGCTAAGAAAGTTCTACAGATGTTTTTTTTTTTTTTTCCAAGGGCACCGTTTATGCCTGTAGGGCTAGGATTGCTGTGTAACGAAGTCACAACTATAAAACTTTATGTTAACCAGAATGTTCACCTTTAAAGAGGAAAACAAGGAGATAAGAGTTTGAAGCCAGAAGCAGTAAGCTGGACACCAGGCTGGAATTAAGCATCGTAAATATAAGATTTCCCAGGAGAACATGTACTCCTTATGTAAGTTTCAATTTAATCAGATGGTTAGAAAGGCTAATCAGCACAAAAGAAAAATCTCATGTTTTCTTTCCTGATTACATGAGCTGCTCACCCACATCAAGGCCTTACATTCCAATCAGGCTGACTGAGCAAAGACTTTACAAGCTTAGCAAAAAATAATGATAAAAAAAACAAAAAACATGGGGGTAAAAGAGCAGGTTTAGTTCAGCAAAATGTGCAGCGTAAACAGAAACATTCACAAAAGGACTTGCAGACGCAGACACGAGGAAGCTGAAGTATAACAGCAGGCGCAAACATCTTGTGCCATTTGTTCCATCATAGCAACAGAGGAGAGCGGAAAGAATAAAAAGAGGAGCAAATCAGCTGTGGACAACATCTGAGAGAGGAGTTAGGGATCAGCTCTGAGTATTAAGGCAACATGAGGCGAAGCTGAGGACTCGCTCTTTTGGTTTTCTTCTGCTTATCTTTTAACTGCACCGCTGTTTGCGTTGGAGCGGCCTGGCTGTCTGAGGTGGAGACAGAGGCTTAGCTTGCAGTTTCGCTCACCTGTCCAAACAACGTCGGGGGGCGAAAGGAAGTGGCTCCTTGTGTTTTGCGAGTCTTGAGAAAAACCCATTAAGTTCCCGCTGAGATCTCTTGATCTAATTTTAATGATCCGACCTGACGTTGTGTGGCTTTGAAGGTTTGTGGGCCCAAAGCATTAAGAAAAAAATAAAAGGTTTAAAGAATCAGCAGTGGGCCAATTTGCCAACAAAGTAACTCAAGCTGAGAGCAATGTGAGGTTATGCAGGAGCAGTTTTCTGAAAACGGGGCGACAGAGTGTGTTTGATAGAAGCAGAATGAAAAACACGTGTCTAGAAATACTTGGGCTGAACAAAAAGAAATAAAAAAGGAAAGAAGGGAAGATCAAGGGAGAGATGAGGAGTCTGATAGTTGGTACGCCAAAAATATATGTTAGCTTTAAATCAGCTGGCTTATCGGGATTCCTCACTGCCAAGAATCACTTCCTAGTGATTCAGTTAACTTCTCCCTGATAAGGTTAAAGCTGCAATGTGTAACTTTTATAAAAAAAAAATATATATGTTTTTCACATATTTGTTAAAATGTTGTGACAGTGATACAGATAATCTGTGAGAAGAATCCAACTCCTCCACCGCCTCCCTGTGCCGTGACTGCTGTCTGAAGAAATGCTACGCTCTTGGTCAAAAACAACCAGTCAAAGCCAGGAGGAGGGGCTTAGCGCTGTCAATCAACTGAAGTATGCGCTGCTAAATGCGCTACTGTTTGGAGAAACAACTTACATTTACGGCAGAGCCATTTATCCACCATCATCAGTGGCTATGCTAGCTAGCCTTAGCATTCACTACAAGCTCTGCTATCAGGAAGGAAAAGGGAAGACAGCGCTAAGACCCGCCTCTGGTCTCTGATTGGTTGTTTCTAGTTAGAACTGGGAGAAGGCAGAAGACTTATATTTTTTTTCATATTTGCCTTTTAACATACTGTCACGACACAGTGAGTTTCAACAAAATGTAAAAAAAGGAAAAATTAAATATTAAAACTGATTAAATAGGTTGTTTTACTAACAAAAATAGAAAATATTCCAACATCATCATTCACATTCAACCTTTATTTTTTACATTTTGTCATGTTACAACAAACATTTACAGACAGTAAACTCTAAATAACTTCACGAAGAGTTAGTGTTGAACAGCTTTATATAATTTTTGTGATTTTATGGATTTATTTGTGCTGATATTTGTACAGAAAGTTGAATGTTATTATTGTTGTTTGCCACTGATTGTGCGCGTTTCTCAGATGTCTCTTCTTTAGGCTGATTGCCCTGCTTGCTTCTGATTGGCTGAAAGCCCATAGACAGATTGTAACAAGCTGATGATGTCATGTAGCCGAGGCGCAGTGTGTTTTTGTCTTTATTAAATCTTCAGAATATGTTGGAGTGCTGATTATCCCTGGGTTTTTCTTTGTAGTTTTTTTACTCGTCCCTTTTTTTTTTACTCTGAAGTTGTGCAAACTAACTTTCCCTTCATGTCTCATAAATTTAAGATTAAATGCACATAAGTTAGTTTTCGTAACTTGACACCATGTTGTAAAAACAACACACTTCAGAGTTTTTTATTTTTTTTATTTTTGTAGGGCATTACTAAAATATTCCTTGGCACTTTGCCACTATTGACTGGCAATAGCAAAGCAGCCGTTTCAGGAGTAATTGTTTTTCTTGCTACTGATTGGCTGTAATCCCAAGAGTGGAAATGAGGAAGACTGTAAATGTTAGCTTCTGTTTGTAAAACCCAGTTGAGTCATTCTTCTAACAGCTAAAAAACACAAAATCTCACCAAGTTTTTTTGTTTTTTTTACCTAGTTTCTAGTGCAAATATCTCAGGCGAGTTGAAATAAGACAAAGCTCAGATAAAAGTAACATTTTAGGAAAACGTGGGAACTTGTTTTAAGTCAATAATTCTTCAATATTGATAAAAGGTGGTAAGTCCTTTGATAGATTTATTTGTTATAATAAATCTGTATATTTTTTTTACTTGTTTTGAGAAGGGTATTTCTTTTGCAGTGCTTGTCATTTTTCCTGAAACGGTTTAAAAGGAGAATATAAAGACATTACAAAGTGTTAAGAAAAGATGAAGAGAAAGTTATGAAAATGAATTTCATTCGTTTTAGTCATACTTTGTAGGAATCTGACGGCATTTTGATGATGATTTTTTTTCTTGTTTTCAACAGTCAGTTTAGAACAAATCAATCATCAAATATTGCATAAGCTCAGTTTAACAGATAAAACCTATATCATATGCTTTAGCATCTATTGAGATTCCTCTGGTGCGGCATAATGTATATGTGCGATTCAGCGA